CCCCCCCCCCGCAGAAAAAAGACCTGCGATATATTGCTGATTCCCACATTTTCCTGGAGGATTTACAGTAGCACAAACAACCTTGTCGAGGAATTTTGAAGGAAAGCACAGCAAGGTCCTTTATGCATTTCAGGGACAGAAGGAGGGTCACTAGACTTTTCTGGTCTTATTCACTGGGGGATCCCAGCTCTCACTGAGGCTCTTCCCATCTGAGGCCATTTCTGGGTGTGTATTAACCAGTGGGAAGATCAGTCTGCAGTGCACTTATTTGACCAAGTCTTCACCCTTTATGTGAGGAGTCTAAGTACATTTTTCCTGGGATGTACAGAGTGCCCAGTCAAGACAGTCAAGTTAAGACACTAACTTGGCCCTTTCCTGATGAAATATTTTCTCCATAGCGGAAGTCATGTTCTGACAAGACTCGGAGAGTGTTTGCAGAAAACATTAAAAGTATTAACTAACTTAATAGAGCCAAAGTAGGAACATTTAGTTCTGAAATTTTGGACCATCTCTAAAATGAGGTGGGCGTGGCTGGCCTTCTCCCCAACCCACTTGAGGGCCAGAACTTGATGTTCATAGGGCACGTCTCCCTTTAGAGACCCTCGTGGGCTAGGACTTCTTAAATAGAATAGATTCAGGACCTTTACCTCAGAATTATGTAAACTGTGATTGTGTTTTAGAAAAGTTATTATTTGCAAAAACCAGTTAAGTTTTTGTATATGTGTAAATGATCATGAAATTGAGTTTTATAAGATGTTCTGTACAGTAAAGTTATACACTCAAGGTGTATCTTGGAGTGGATTCTTTCCCATAAAGTCTTATCTGCAACACTGTGTCTGGGGAATGTTTTGTCTGTTACTGTCTGCCAAATGTTTGTTATGGAGAAGGCAGCTTCGTAAACACTCCTGTGTACAGTATTGTAGCTTGTGCTGTTTCTTTTATTGTCGTTTTAGCCGATAGACTCCCTCTCTTTCTTGTTGCATTTCATGGACCTGGGGGTTTCCCAGCAGAGGATATTAGAGTCCCTTTTCATGACGTTGCCAATTACATCTTTGTCTATGTTCAATACTTCATATTGGAAACTTTAAATGCTGCGAATTTGTGTAGATTTCTAATACCAAAGACAGAAGTAAATGTTTTTCCATACTTTGTCTTGCCTGTAAGCAGCCCTGTGTAATATGGTGAATTAGAGTGGTATTTCACTTTGTAATATTTTGTAAATATGTCAATATAATAAATAGTTACTACTTGCATTATATCGAGAGTTGAAGTCTTTCCATAGAACAATTCCATACATAATTCAACATGTGCCAACCTCATCAGAAACACGGGACTAGAAGCCCTAACTTTGATCTGGTTTAGCTCAGGACTGCTGCCTGAACAGTTATGAACAGTGGCCTGTAAGACATACTCAGTAGTTGCAAATAATATATTGACATGCTTCCCATGTGCCATGCACTGCTCTAAATGCTTTATGTGCTCTAACTTGCAGTAACCCCAGGAGGTATAATCCCATATTATCTCCACTTTTCAGATGAAGAAACAGGCATTTCAAAAGGCTGTAGCTTGACTCAGCTCTCAGAGCTGGCAAGCGTCAGAGATGGAGTTCCAAGTTGGACAGTCTGGCTCCAGAGCCTGTACCATGACACTCAGATTAGGGTCAAGAGGGAGAATAGGGATGTTTCTAAGACTGCACAGCTGAGAAGCTATGATACAAGATATCGTAAACGATTGAAGATGAACACAGAATTCAGAAATGTTCTCCTATTCCTGCCTCTTAAAAGAAAGCCCCAAACAGATATTGCCTAGAGAGAGAGGTGTCAGAGGAGATTGAGCTTTTTTTCTATTTTGATTCAACTTTTCCACAGAAAATGATGAACTGCTAAGCCAGAGAGACACAGAGGCAAGTCTCCCTTGGCAGAGCAGGCCTGCGGGTTGTCCACAGTGGTGGAGACCGGCTAGCTCAGGAGAGGGTGGAAGCCCGTTCCTTCTAAGGAAAAGTCAGTTCCACGGTAGTAGCTTCTGGTTGATGTCACCAGTACCACTATGCTCAGAAATATAAAATCTCCCCTATTTCATTATAGTACAGTGGGTTATCCCAACCCTTACTCCCTTTACTTGAAGGGCTGATTCCTTTGGAATTCTCTTCGACATGTTAACATTTATGTGACTTTAGACCTTGTATCTTACTATCACCACTCTCACCACCACTGCCAATCATGATAAGAACTCCCTCAATTTATTAGTTAACATGGGAATATCCTTTATAAAACATTCAAATATTTTGTCTTCCATCAAGTAATTGAAGTAAAATATGTTGATAATTAGTCTTTAGGTGCCTTGCTTTGTTCTATTTAATTTGACAGCTGTATAGAGGAGTGATGAAAGCATATCCCCAGACCTCAGACTGCGTATCTGGGTTCACATCCCATCCTTGCCACACAGGGCCTCAGCCAATCAGTATAATAACAGCAGGTACTTCACCGGATGGTTGTGAGACTCAACTGAGGCCATACGTATGATATAAAGTGGAATGGTGCCTTGCTTACATTGAGCCATTTTTATCATCATCATCATGGCTACCATTGTCAGATGGATTTGCTGGCAAAATCTGGGTAGTTGCTATATTAATCTTTGAATTGCTTCTGTATAATTCAGACTCACTTACTGGATTAAGGGGCAAAACTATAGATTCTCAATTAGACAGTGTCTCCAGGAAGGAAGTTAAATCGTTTGGTATTATAGAAAGTGGAAGTTTTAGCAGTCACACCTGGGGTTCAAACCCCAGCCCTGTCAGTGACTTTCTGAGCACCAATTCATCTTCTGTAATAAAGGGATAATCATAAGTGTCTGAGAGAGCTGTTATGAAGAATAAACCATAACAAATGAAAAAAGATGCCAGTAAAGAGCCTGACACATGGTAGGTACTCAAGAAATGTTGGTCCCCTTCCCCTGAAGAATTGTAAAATACTTCAGAACCAAATTATGGACTGGCAGTTTTTATTTTGAATACTAGAGCTCATGCTTTGTTTCTTGCACATGATTACATTTTAAGCATTCAAATTACAGATGGAATAGAAAGGTGTGTGTTCAGGAAGATTAATATTCAAACCCACAATCTCAGAAGTTGAATTTAACAGCTCCACACTATTTTGACTAGAAAAATGAGATTTTCACCCAGCTCATAATCATTTAAACTTAGTCCATTAGTCACTTCATTTTTCACTGAAACTAGTTTTCTGGGATTGGTTGGACTCTGATTAGAAATGTTATGCACTAGCATCTGGCGGACTTTGGAAGGTAACTTATTGTAAGTAATGAACAAGTCCTGAAAAATAGGTCAAAAAGGAATTCTTTCTCTAGTTAGGTGCCATCAATTAGGATTTGGGGACATAGTGACAGAAGAGCAAACAATTCCTCCTGAAGCACTCTAGACTGGCCCTGTTAGAAGGTTCCAAAATTTCTAGGCACAATACAATCACAGTGACCCCGATATCGAGAGACCTCAGCAGAAACAGAATGAACACAAAAGTCACCCCATGCCCTGTCCGCTAATGGACACTGGCGTCCGTGATGAGTCCTGAGGGGGAAAGTGAACTCCAGAATGGCCGACCTGCCCTCTGCAGGCACAGCCATTGCCCCTCACCAGCCGAATGACCCTGGGCAAAGCACACAGAGCCCCTGTGTCTTTGGAGAATGAAGGGGTTAACTGGTTGAAAACTGTGATTCCATCCTAACTCCAGTGGTTTTGCGAAATTATTCTGAACCATGGAGGAAACACAAAGAAATTCAAAGACTTCATTGAAATGCAGAGGTTTTAAGATATGCTAGCACTTAACTGTGAAAGTCAAATACCTGTCCAGTTGTACTCACAATTCTTTGCACAGTCATTTCATGGCTGTTAGTGGCACAGGGACAGCTCCGAGGGTCTGCTATACTCACACTGGTAACCTTAGCACCTGTCCACGAGCACATGCCAGAAGTCAGGGGATGTTTGAACAGTGAGCGAGTCCCCAGCACTCCAACGTGGAGACCTGTGGGCACTAGCTCTAGATTCTATGGCTGCACAGCTAAATGCGCTTTGGCTTTGACTCCAGCAGTTGAATTCCATGTGGATGGT